GAAATCAGTGAGAGTTCTGTGTATCAAGAGCTTTTATGAATAGGACCTCATCCTTAATTACATCTTCTTACTGACAAACTGAAAAATGCTAAGTGAAAGCATGAGGGATTAAAAAAATGCAGTTAAACTCATACATATTTTTACTACTGCTCTTTTTCTATGCGTATTTAGGATTAGATCTTCAGCCTTGTACCATCTGTGGTGAACCACTCAGTATCACAGAGCCACCAAGGTTATGTAGATAAGGCTTTTAATTGCTCTTATTATTAGAAGTGTATACAATTAAAGATATATTTGTAATGAAAGTGTAACAAGCAATCTATGAAATTTAGTGATTCTTACTTTTTTTTTATAAGAACATCTATTTCCTACTGTCTGAAGTCAGTGAGAAAATCTACAGAAAACATTTTTAGTATTTTGGTGAACAAAAATACATCACTGTTAAAGTCATGAAAGTCCTAACTTGTTCAAATTCCCACCATTATAGAAGGGAAGATGTCAAAGTAATCCATTCTTCAAACAAGAGACCAAAATGTTTCATTTCTTTTGATAAGTCACTGTATCATAAGCCAGTACACCAGCCTATACCACCCATAATTTGTTGTTTGTTATATTTTGCACTTCATGCATTTCAGTCAGAATACAGAAGGCTTCTATAAGAAAATATTGAGGGTCAAGTGTTTATTGGTACTGTTTAGCAACTCAGGGGTTTTAGGCTGCTTCTTGAAGTGTTGTTGAGAGGGAAGGGAATATCATGCTGGGGCTGCTGCTGGTTAACTTCCGGGAAAGTAGTCACCAACTGGTAGATCGCAATAGACTTGTTGATCTTGGAGCCTCTGACAGTTGATCTCAGTCTCAGTCCCCCACATAGGTAGAAGGAGAAAAAATTATTTGGGGGGGCTGAGCACATGTTTATTTGGGGGTGCGTGCCACCCTACCCCTGTCCAGCAGGTCAGTCTGTGGTGGAAGAAAGAGGTGGAGGGGGCAGATCGAGGCCCCTGTGGTGAGGGAGGGAGTGAGGTAGAGGCAGGGGCAGGATTGGGGCGTGTGGGGCCCCAGCTGGGCCAGGTGTGGGACAGTTGGAGCCTGGGTGGCTCGTGCAGGGGGGCTCCTGCTGCTGCACGCACCCTGGTGGAGGCCCAGGGGGCACGTGCTTCCCTGACCTGTGCACAGGGTGGAAGTAGCCACCGCTACGTGCTGGCCTCTGAGCCCCGAGTGCTGCTGCAGCTGCCCCAGAAGCAGCACGACACCACATGCGTCCCACTGCTGGGCGGGCAGGGGGCATGGCTCAGGTAGATCCTGGGTTGCACTTTAATTCAAAAAGTAATCTTGTGCTTAAAAAGGTTGGAGACCACTGTTCTAGGGCCAGGAAGAATTTTTTCTCCTCTTGAATGCATTTCTTGATTTTAATTTTTCTTGCTGCCTCTTAAGCATTGGATGTTAGATGTGATTAGAAGTGAAAGATAGCTTTGGGTGTGCTTGTACTCCTTATGTTACCTCTTAGGTGCTTGGTCACAGCATCTTACTGATAGGCAAACAAATCGCCATGTTTGGGTTTGGAACCCAGTTTCCCTCCAAGTCAGACTGGCAAAAGACTGCTGATACTCTTTTGTCTTCCTCTCTACTGTGGATTATGGTTCACTTCCTAAAATTATCTGAGCATATTTTACCTAGTTAGTTTCCAGCTATTTTAGGGACCCAAAGCATTGATGGTGCCCTTGTTTTTCATTCTCTCTTCTTGCAGCCCACTGTAGGGTTTCTTTTTCCTAGGTTCTTTGGGACTGTGACATGCAAGTGGGGCTGGAATGAATGTTCTTGTGGCCTCTATGAATTCAGGTTGCCTCAATGAAGAGTTGCCTATGAATGCAAAGACTGAACTTGCTGACCCAAGAATACTTTCTGATAATTCCAATAGCATTCTTATCTTATTTTAAGAGTTTGTAATATAAAGGTTATCGTAATCAACATGAACTACAAAATAGTGTGAAATTTAATTCCTATAGCTGGAGAAGGCCTTCTTTAAAAAAATAATTATTTCAATTTAGAAATTTGGTTAATGAAACAAGTACACAATACAGATAACAACTTAAAACATTTGTTATTATATAATCAGTCATTTGGGACAATCAGTGTATGCTTAATTTAACCAATCAGTGGTGTATTCGTTTTAATTGGATATTAGGTAGTCTGCCGTGACTCTAAATTAGGTCTTCCAGACTTATTTTTTAAAAGTCTGAAATTTATTTACCTGCCTTTTCATAATTAGTAACTGTTTGTTAAATAGATAAAGAGCATTTTATAAGTGTAAGATTGTAATTTCCACATTTAAAAAGAAATCTGAATAAAAGAGAAATACCACTTAGAAAGTGTGTTTAGTTGCTTGGGGTTGAACTGGAAGCTTATGGCTTCTTCCTATATGCACTTATTCCTGAACACTTTCCTACTTGGTTAATGTCTGGCATGGACTGCCAAAAACTCTTTTGTGTGGTATGTTCAAACTTCAGCCTCAGAAGCAGCACTGGGAAGGAATTGTGGCATAGCAAGCAGCCCAGTGTTGATTACCTCTGTGTTTTTAGATCCAAGATCTATATACCTTATGCAGCCTTATGAAGGGGGATCCTGGTTTTCTCTGATAAAAACAAAATCTCCAATTTTTGGATTATAAAAGTAACCCCAAATCCACATTTTTCCGTGATCAAAATGAAACACCACTAATATATATCTATATATCCATATCTATATATATCTATAAGTGGTGTTTTATTTTGATCACGGAAAAATGTGGATTTGGGGTTACTTTTTTAATATATATCTATATATTAGTAGTGTTTTCATTTTGATCACAGAAAATTATGGATTTGGGGTTACTTCTTTAATCTGAAAATTGGGGATTATTTTTAATCAAAGAAAACCAGGATCCCTGGTTATGAAAAGGGGAGTCTTACTCTCTCACCCCCAATGCACTTCAATAGACTCATTCTCTTAAATCATGAAACTAACTATTTTCAATTAGTTCACTGTAGATTTAAAATAGAATGGGAACTTCCTCATAGATAATCATTCCTTTACAGTTTTAAAGAGGCAGAAGACTTCTGTTAACTCAACTTCTATAGTACTATGATAAATTAGCATATGGCTTTCCAGCTTCTATGCTGTTGACAGTCCCCTGCAGTACTGAGGCTTACAATCGTGAGTGGAGAGGAGAGTGTCACCATTAAAGTTCTCTAAACTAGTGGGATTTTTGTGGGCAAATATATTAGAAACACTCCATTTAAGTCTGATAATTTTTGTGTGAATTTTTTATCAGTTTGGTTGAATATTCATGGTATGTTTATTTTTATTATAACTTTCTTTGAAATTTTCTGTGCAAGTTAAGTGGTTTCATTTGCTGCCATGATGCATCAGTGTGATATTACTGTAAAATCATCTTATTTTCACATGTATCCTTTTTTTTTTTTACTTGAAGTAGAAAATAATTTAAGATTTTGTTTATATTTAAAAAAGCAACCAAACCAACCAACCAACCTGGCTTACAATATTAATAATGACCTCAATACAGAACATCAACTTGGGAATTAATGACTAGTTAAGGTAAATGGCCCAAATCCTTGAGTCATTAAACTCCAAGAAAATGTCCTGTACTTTGATCTTTATTGGTATATTAGAGAGAGGTTGTAAAAGTTAAAAATAAAAAGGTGGGGGGACTCCAAACACAAGAATGCTCTAATGTTTACAAAGAAATGGCTATACTATTAGCCACTTCTCCCTGCAGTCCCCAAATAGATGAAACTTCCATTATAGTTGACAGGAATTTTTCCTGTTTTAGCACAGAGGAGGTAAAGCTTCTGATTGCCACCATTGTTTATTTTCTTATTCAGAAAGAAATGAACATACACAATTCTGCTTAAGTTACAACAGGGTGTAGTACAAGAATGATTGACTGCATGGCATTGTTAAATCATTCCTAAATCACCCCCAAAATAGACATTGATAGTTACAGGAATTTTGCAATAGTGTGTGTGTGTGTGTGTGTGTGTGTGTGTGTGTGTGTGTGTGTATAATTGGTAGTACATATATTCATTGCAATCCCTAATTTGTATGCTGCTGACACAGTGCAGGAGCTAGAAACTTGTGACTGTGAAAACTTAAAGGACAAGAAGTGCTTAAATCTGAAGCCCTTTATTTATACGGACTGGACAGATGTAAGCTGTTATGATGGCTGTTGCTCTGCAATGTCTTACAAATAGTTCTGAGCCCTTTGTGACGTAAAGTAGTATATTTAAAGTGAGGTGGCTTTGTGAGATTTTCACTTTAAATGGAATAAGGGTTAAATGATAACTTGACTTATCTTTTAAATGACAAAAAATAAAGAAATTGCAAGACCTTTTCACACATTAGATATGTATTGTCATTTATCATCTAGATATCAGGCTAGCAGTGCGAAGTAATAAAACATATCATCGAAAAATGTGCTATAGGTCTGAATCACTCTTTCATTCCACCTCCCAGCTAACTGTAGTATTAAATCAAACAAGCAGAACATTTCCTTAGGCAGCCATTGCCTTTTAATTTCCTGAAGAACCTTAAAATATCATTCATTACAAGTACTACACATATTTGGTTTTTAAAAGTCTCATAAATCAATAGCAGGCTGACTGTAATAATTATTACAAGTTAGTGCATAATTTTCGTGCTGAAGGCTGCATGCAGAACTTTAGCATATGCAAACGAGGCAATTCAAACTGTGTATAGATATTAATATGAAGAAGCAGGTAACGAGGTGCAGGCTATGAATTATGCATCAAGAGCGGCTGATCTTCAATGAGGAAAATGAATTCAGCATGTAATCTAATTAGTGATGGAAGTCTATTACATCTAACTGCAAAAGCAACCGTCCTTGAAACAAATTTATTTACAGTCCATGTTACCACTTGAAACAACTTTGAAATGATGTGTAAGACAACAGCTTAATTGTAAAAATTTTTGTTTGTTTGTTTCAGTTCTAGACCTGGAAGGCCTCCTAAGAGGACTCAAAGTGTCACCTCCCCAGAAAATTCTCATATTATGCCACATTCTGTCCCAGGCCTAATGTCTCCTGGAATCATCCCGCCAACAGGTAGGACTGCTAATATCAAGCTAACAGTTTTATGGTGAGGTGACTTGCATGCACTGATTTAAAAATTAAGAAAATGTTTTCTCCCTTTTTCAAAAATAGCTTCTCGAAGCCTGAATTACTGTATTGATTTAATCCTCCACTTGGCAGACAATGACTTCCTAGTTTTTTAATAGATCTGAAATTATCTGACTGCCTTTTGTTTTGTTTTGTTTTGTTTTGTTTTTCCTGCTCTTTTCCCAGTTGTAGGTGACACATCAGAATTGTGCCTGCTCCAGACAGTTACTGGTTAGATCAACCCCTTGCTCTACTCACCTGCTTTTTGAATTTTCACACTCAAATCACATTGATGGTATGCTTCAGTGTGAAGAGTATGTCTTCTGCTGTAGTGATGTGCAGTTATGCACCTCTTGCTGGTTTTTATAGCTCTTTCTTTTGAAGTAATCGTTTATGAACTAGCATAAAGAATTTATAGAGTCCCATGAAGTCCCTACCATCTCTACTTTCCTGTAATTCTAATTTCTCTCTTGCCTCCTCTCAAGAGCATTTGGGACAACAGATTATTCAGAAATATAATAAAAGCACACAGAATGTGAGTTTTCTAAAATAATAACTCACAGAACCAAGTACGAGGTCCCGTTAAAGAGGGGAAAAAGGAGGAAATGGTTTGAAATGGAAGCCAATAAGTGTAAGGGCAGGAGTATTTTTTTACAGAACATCTTCAGGGAGAATGAGAATGATTTAGGTGATTTTGTAAAAGTTGGGAAGGAGTAAATAGCTGTCAAGGCAGAATAAGTTTCACACCATAGGGCTAACCACAGTAAAAACCTATTGCTGATTTTCAGATATAATGGGAAGATCCTTTAAACAGCTGGTTGAATGTGAGCACAGCTACGATCAGTGCCAAGCTCAGGGAGAAGGTCTTCTCTGTAGCACGGGTCAGCAAAGTTAAAGGCTCTAAAAGCCAGCAGTAGCAAATGAAATTCAGTCCACCATTTTATTGGCAGATGATGGAAGGAATGCAGGGTGGGCATAAAACTTGATCACAATAGCTTGATAGTTGTGCTGCTTTGTTTTGAATAAGCTGCAAATGTGACAAAGCAGCCCTAGGGACAGTCCTGCCAGGAAGGAACTACAATAATTGTAATTAATGTTGTTAGTGCAGTAATGAAAAAGGCACCATTTTATATTCACTGAAAAACTGGTGTCATCTTGTGAATTCTTTTCCCCACATTTTTCTTCACACATTCCTTGGTTAGGGTGTTAAGAGATTTGCAGTTCTTGTTAGGAAATCAGCTCTAAAAAGAGTTAAAAATAAGACACCCTGCCCCCAAAGTCAAGGCAATCCCAAAGTGCAGGTGTTTTGAAGAGCTGTGTTGCTGTGGACATTCCTTAAGTTCCTTTCTTTAATATATGCATAGTGTTGGGTAATTTAATTATGTAGTTACTGTTCTATTCTCTGAAGTTCTAATATCATTTTGATGGTTTGGATAAAGTGCTCTCTAGTCTACTGCTCTCATCCCTTTTGCAGCATTTCTCAAGCTATGGTCCATAGAACACTGGTTGCTTACTGTCTCTCTTTCCACCTACAAAATCACTGAATAAGGTAAAGCAATGTATTTCCAGCAAAAGTTAATTTTTCATCAAGCAGCTGGTACAGTTGCCACAGGAATGTGTATAGGAGAGAAAGTGTTTTGCGCAATTCTAAATAGGAGGGAGGCAATCTTCTATTCAGGTGTGATTCATATACAAAAAAAGCTTATTTACCCTTATGACATGGTTGAGTCACACTTTAGCTTATATCCATTTAGATGGGGCTTGATCAGTTTATGAAAGAGATTGTATAACGTGGTCCCTAAATATAGCAGAGGTCCTTTTCCCTGTGTTCCTAGATGTAGAGACCATAAAATAGTGGATAGTCAAATAGGAACTTGAAGACCTACAGTTTAAATTTATATATCTGTACTGATGGAGAAAACAAATGGCATCTCCTTTGGAACATGTTCCCTGTATGATATTGGGCACTTCTACACGAGATGCTAACTACACAGTAGCCAAAAACATGGTGCAGTAGCATGTCAGTGCTAATACAGTGCTAATATACTACTGTACTGTATTATTAGGCTACTGCATAGTAGCATCACTAAAAAGATGTGAGCCAGTGCCGCTGTGCAGTACCTCCAGTTACTGCACATTAATTTAGTACTTGATTATACAAGTACTAAATTTTATGTGGAATAACCACTGCATTTTAATGAATGTGTATATGTACCCAGCAAGAGTGATTTTAAATGAATTCTGAGCGAAACTAATATGTTGGTAAGTGTTATAAGTAGAGAAGAAAGATAATGGGACAAATCTAATGAGGCTACAGGTTAAAGAATAATGAAGAATTATTTCAATGTAAAATAGACTGTAAGTGGGCATGTCTACATGTACATTTAGGCATGCCTAAATTTAATGCACTTTAGCTTAATGCACATTAAGGCGATTTAGGGTCATGTCTACATGTACATGCATTAAAGCACATTAATGCCATGTGTGCGGACTGATGAGGGACTAAAGTTAGTCCCAAGTCAGTTTATACACAGTGTTAATGTGCCTTAATGTGTCTAAATGTGTGTTAATGCATTTTAGCTACTTGTGCCTAAATTCAGTACTTGCAAAAGCAGATATCAAATTTAGGTGCCAGTAGCCTAAAATCTCCATTTTAAGGCACATTAAGGGTAAATAAGTGCCCTACGTACTACATTGTCTAGTGCCATAGGGCCAACTTTTGTAGTCAGAAGGCACCCTCCAGTAAAATGTTGACCCAAGAAAGTTGTTTAAAACATGTTTTTCAGAGTAAATCCTTCTAATATGCTTTCTTCACACTGCCACTTATCCCTGAAATGTGGTAATCTCTTATTGTCTCCTTCTTCTAAACTGCTATTGAAATATGCTTTCTGGGCAGCTCATCATTGTTAACCCCCTGCTTGAGGTGTTACAATTCATCAAATACGAACACATGATAAGAAAATCAAACTAAAAAAGGAAAAGCATTTCCTCAACACAACATTGATTAGTGCTTTTATGTTTAATTAATGTTTAGTTCCATCCTGTTGGATGATGACCTTTCTGTGAGAGGCATCATGTTTTGCCCTGTGCTTCATACATTGATGGACACACTAGAGGTGCTGGGTGTTCATCCTAAGTTGTCATTTAAAATATTACAAAAGAAGCAAAACAAGGAACTGGAGGACATTCTATTCTGACAGAAGTCACTGCCCCCACCCCCCAGGAAGACATTGTATCACTCGCTGGACTTCATTCCCAGGAGAAAAATAACTTGGGAACAACCAAGGTTAAATTGCTCCCAGGAAAAACTCTCTTGGGAGCAATTTAAACTGGGTTGTTCCCAGGTTATTTTTCTTGCAGAGTAGCCCTTTATGCTGTGGACATTTTTTTTGAATATCTGCATACTTGTGGTTTCTACTGGGAGAGCAGTGACTCTCAGAAGAAACCGAATGTGTATATGTGGCCTCCATTTGCAAGCATGGTACATGGCCTTCTGGACTACTACACGTCAATGTTATTGCATATCAGTGGAACTGTGAAGCAAAGTATTTGTGGTTTGGATTTTTAAAATCACATGAGGCACTTAGTTGTGGGACAGATAAACACAGAATGGGCGTGTCCACACATCCAGGCACATGTGCTTGCAGCAGCTCAAATAGGAGCAGCACGAATTTGAGTTGAGCAGATTTGCCTCAGCACACGTGCCTGGACATGAACTTTGGCGTGGGGTGAATTGTGCCACTTGGGGCAAAATAACCCTGCCTAGCTCCTCCTGGATCTGCAGCCAGGGGAAGCTAGAGCCTGGGGTCAGGCCTGTGTGATTTGGCACAGGCAGCGCTGGGTGCCAGGTGGCTGGAGCTGAGCCATGCTGCCCCATGCTGTGGGGGGCGGGGGGCGGTGCCAGGAGGGCCCCGAGTGCTCTGGTGGGCTGCTGCTGCAGGGGAGCAGGGCTGTGGGCTGTGTGGGGCATAGGTGGGGGAACCACCCCTCCCAAGCAGCCTCCCCCCCACACCCACAGTCCCTTACACCCCCACATTACCCCCCTGCTCCAGTCTCTCCCACCCCCAGTCCCTTACCTCCCACGGAGCTGGGCTCCTTGCAGCCTGCACTGGTTCAGGATGCCTTGCACGTGGAGGCAGCATGCTTCAGCAAGGGGCAGCCATGGAGATGCTCTGGCTGGTTACCAGAGCATCTCTTTGGAGGACTGAAGCCTCTGGTTGCCTGCATGCTTCTTTTTCTTGGGTTTTTTTTTTTTTTTTGATACCTGGCTATCCAGGTATCAGATTTTGAGCCCACACTGCAAACTGCTTTGAGATGTGGCAAGAGGCACATGCAGGCTCATCTGGATGTGCCCAATAAGTGCATAGCCAAATGGAACATTTCTTATCTCGGTTAGTGAGAAGATAAATGTAGAAACTTCTTCCTAATGCCCAAGTGAGAAGTGGTTAAAGCTGACCGTTAAGGCTAGGGACAGAAATTACACATCAGCTAGTACTAGTGATCAGAAACCAGTTCAAATCTGTAACAGAACAGAAGTTCAGTGCACATAAACCACTTTCAATATAGCTGAAACTGGTTTAAGATAAACCTGTATGGATGTAGCATTAGACTTAACTGATTTATGCTTAATCAGTTTATTGAACTTCTGCCCCAGATCCCCTCCAGCTTTGAGTTAACTCACAGTCTGCCAGTATCCAAGGATATGTTGTACCTCCGCTGTAAACCCTCCCTTTCAGGATGGGAAGCCTAGCCTTGGCCTAAGCTGTCTGCTCCAGCCAAGCAGGGAGGCATGCTCTAGTGCTCCCCGGCTTCTGGCCAAAATGGGAACATTTTGTTGGACATTTAATGCTGCCTGTGTTATGGCGAATGATAGATTTGTACTTATAAAAGAATGAGAGTGAAAGTAAGTAGATATTTTTCTTGTATTTATGGGAAGAGATATCTCC